GACTGTCATGGAATCTTCTATCTCTGGAAACTTCTTAAATATAAGATGGTACTCCTAAGTTTTGGTTTAGAAATCTGTTTAAAAAAGCAAGCATGCATTATAGTATTCAACAGTATATTTGGGGTCAGTACTAAAATTAGGGTGGTCAGAAGGTTAGGATGAGCAGTCTTACTAGTAATGTATTAGAGCGTACAAGGTTGATTCTGCTTACAGATGCCTTTTTCTAATATGAATAAAAGTTTTCATGTTGTGCTAAGCTGCATGTGTTCTTCACAGGAGAGGAGCTGTGTACTGGCCTCATATCAGGTTGTTCCTTGGATTGTTCCTTCGGTTTCCAGACTGATGCCTACAACTGTGAGATCTGTCAGTGCCGCCCACGGCCTAAGAAATGCAAACCAATAATATGTGACAAGTACTGTCCATTTGGATACTTGTACGTATTCTTATTATGAAAGCATATTTATCACAAACCATGTGCATATTTGAAAATATGCAAAGCCCATTCATATTTATTTATGTATGTTTATTTTATGTGTCAATCATAGAACAGGTTGGGGGGAGAGGGATGTACAACTCTGATACAGGCGTAAAGTACTCCTTACACAGACTTAGACATTAGCAGTGAAGTCATGAAAATGCATTTTGATCTCCAGGTTACGAGAAAATTTAAATAATTGAAATAATGACTAACAAAGTTACAATCATAGAAGAGTGTTCCTGAAAAGTAATTTAAAGCTGTTTTAATAGTGAGTTTAAAAAACTGCAAAAAACCTACTTTTCATATAGCTTTAAAACTCTTTTTCCACTTAAAATTCTTGATATCCCTTCATCTTATAATCCATTTCTTTTATTCAGTTGATCCTGTAGTATTTTGAGTGGATCTTTTTATTATGACATGACAATAATCTTTCTGCCAGTTACTTCCTAATACTTAAGAAAAGCCTCACTGTCTTTTGGCAGAGGTAAGTTTTTCTAAATGGCATCAAGACTTATTATAAGTTTCCCTCTTCCTTAAAAAGTAGTGGGCATTTATACACATGCTCCAGGAGTTGGGGGAAGGCACTTTAATTAGAGCATCTCCAAGACCTGGAGCCATCACATGTAAAGCCCCTGGAGCATCACATGTATCAGCGTCCCCGCACTGAAAAACGGTGGCAGGGGTGCTTTAACTAAAGCTCGTTGAACAAACTTTAGTTAAAATGCTCCCACCACTATTTTTCATCAAAGGGATGCTGATGCATGTGACACTAGAGCAGACTTGATTAATTGAGTCTCCTCCAATGCACTGTAATGAAGCAGCCTCACTGCATGTGTATAGGTGCCCAATGATACTGGATAGACTTCTTTTTTGAGGGTTTGGTTTTTTTGGTTTTTTTGAGTACGTAAGCATAGCAGAGAGAGGATGCTAAAGCAAACTCTTTGGTACATAGCAGTTTCTTCAGTACCAATTCATAGGATATAGACAAAAAAAACCCAACTTTACTGATTTAAAAGGGGGAGGGACTTATCACATACCAGACTGATCCACTGTAACTGCTTTGTCTTTTGCATGGTAAATGGGAACTAAACCACATTAAGTTACTACCTGTTTAATTTATGAGTAAATTGTTATGGTTTAGCTTAATTTTTAGTATGGGACAGAAGTGGTTATATGAAACAGTGGGTCAGCTTATATGCACTTCCAGGCAGAATTATTCTCCCTCTTCCCTCTTCAACCAGTAAAATTGTTTTGTGCATTTGATTTGGTGGCCTTCAATGAAGGTTCAGCAGATATCCAGAATGATTGTGCCATTTTACAATAACAACATATATTTAATGTTTTGAGTGGAGCAGTATTATGGTATTGTCTCTCTTTCTTAAAGTTGAACCCAAAATAACCAGTTTTTAGATACTGTTGTTGTTGTTGTCGTCATCATCATCATCATACTGTCCTTTCTAAGATTATTTATCCTGTTTACTACCACTTTGGTAGTGTATACTTATACTTCTTTAGTTTGGCCAATTCCTGAGTTTCCTTGTGGTTGAATGTGATGCTAGTTCTTTCACCTTGTAGTGCCTACTCTAGTGATAATATACAGTATAATATAGTTCCTTCCTATTTCATGGTTTCTGTAATTTTTAATTAATATATAGAAGAGGCCAACTGGTCCAAAGATTTGAGAACTCAGAGACTTTAAGAGAAATGGAGGTGAAATTATATCAGACTCTGGCAGCAGGGAACTCCACAAAACTTCTACAACTGTAGGGATTGCTGGTGCTAATGAAGAGATCACTGCCACTCTAGTTAGTGTTGTCAGATGAACACTCAGGTGCATACCAGCCTCCGGCTTCCATTTATTCTTATACCATGGGCTGTCTTTTTTCCCCTCAAACTCAAACACTGAGTTGTACTACATTTATATTAATGCATCAGTCCAGCTGTCCACTTTATCAGCATGTATGTAGCTTTGTCAGTGTATATGGCTCTGTTCAAAAGGTGGAATGTGCTAGATATAACACAGATATGTACCCCGTGGAACATGCATTCGAAAGGCACAGCAGGTGCATATGTGGTACAATACAGATCCAAAAAAGCCTTTCACAAGGTATTTAATATTTATTTTATTTTGGGGGGTTTCTAATTATACTCAAAGGGATATCCATATGTTCTACACACCACAAATATAACTTAAAATGACCCCCCAACAAAATCATTCCAGTATAACTGAAGTGCAGTAATACCGTTCCAGCATAACCCCTAATTCATTGATTCAAAAGATCAGTCAATTTTCAGTAATTTTTGAAGGAGAGTAGGGATGGAACAGAACACAGAACAATTTAAGTGAGAGGTACTTCCAAGTAAATAGGAGCAATATAGAAGATAAGAAATCTAGACGGGATGAAATAGACAAAAGCTGCAGCTAACCAAAAATATGGGAAAATGATGGGTAGAAGGGATGTAATCAGGATGAGGGTTGTCATACTGAAGAAGAGGGAAACTGTTATGGAGATGCAAGTAGTGGTCTTCATTCCAATCCAGGTATGACATTTGAGTAGTATATACAAGGGCAATCCAGTTTCTGTAGCCAATGGCATAAGAAGAGGGATCATGCACCTGTCATCATGTCTAGCCATTCTTGACTTGCCAGCCAAAAAAAACCACATTTCCATTTGCAGTTGGGGCATATGATGGCAGTCCTTGGCCTGAGTCCAGAGCAAGGCTCAGTGTTATGCCTCTGTGTCTGGAGCAAGATGCCTATTGATAGGGGAGAAACAGTGTCAAAGAGTGAATATAATCATGACAGCTGACTTTTGATGGGCTGGGAAGTGAAAAGTGAGTGAGGAGATTACACTAGATGCAGGGACAAATTTCCAGAACAAGGCTTGGGTGTACATATGAGAGAAGCAGTTGAGAAAGGAAGGAAAATGGGATTTTTAGGAAGACTGCATTAAAATCAGACAAAGAGAAAAACAAAAATAATATTAAGATTGTAAAATTCAGAGATGGGCAAAGGTGTTTGATGTTACTAGTGATAGATAAAGGAAGAAAAACACAGGCCTGTCTGGAATTCTAATAAACTCAGTATTAGACATAATGGATTTGCTAGTAGAAAGGAATTATCATTTTTGACTATTAGAATGAAACATAAGGATGTAAGGAAAAAAAAGCAGGACAGGCATTACTGACTAGGGGTCCTGGATAAGTCTTTGAAGCAATTGGCAG